AAAATTACTTAAGCGTTTCTCTCACATGCGGGAGTCCTGGTATCATCTACCGGTATTCCCGCTTCTATTTCCGATCACTCTATCATAAAATAATATTGGATCCTAGATCCAATATTCAGTATTTGATAATCCTGGGTTTGGGTTTAGGATTGGCTTTTTTGATAATCTGGTCCCTGGATGCTACAACCCCCTAAATTTATGCTTCTCAGCCTGCGTAGAAGTAGAAAGTGACATATTGTAGTACCAGATTATCTAGAGGTTGGTGTTTTTGTAGAGGGAAAAATTTGCCCCTTAAGGGGAAAACATAAGATGAAAAGCCTGTTACCATTATCTGTTCTTACTTACTACTTAGTAAATCAATTTATACTACATAACAGGAGTTCTCTACCACGCTCATCGGAGTCAGTCTTGACCTGTGCTCTCGGTTGATGTCAACCTGGCTTAGTAAAACGCATCTCAACGGTGGCTCTCAACCGAGTCTTTGGTCTTTCTCCCTCTGGGGTGTGGGCAGAGCATGCTTCAAGTTGAAAAATGTGAGAGTGTCCTTCAGTGTCAGTGAAACTTGACTATGTCCCCCGCCTCGTGGGCTGACTGTTGCTCGCTGATCGTTCATCAGTGCTTGTTGCTGTTGACTTCTCCGGCCTGGATTACCTTCGTTTGCGTCGTTTACGCTGTCTGTATATCATATGAATATCAGCATCTGCGATGTCTGATTCATGTGTCCAGGTACGCTCCCCATCTGTCCATTGCAGTAGGTAATCGGTTCCACCACCTCTTGTGGATTCTCTGTGATATAGTATCGAGGAGAACTGAGTCTCTTCTGATGGTTGTACTTGACTGTTGGTAGTGAATTTTTGGAGCTCGCTAGCGTTCTTGACTAAGCCAATTAGCTCATCACTAATCATGTATGGATATTAGGGGGCTTTAGTCCCATCAAGGTTTCGGACAAAATATCCGTTGCCCTCCTTGCTTGCTATCTTGTATGGTCCTCTGTATGGTGCTGTCATTTTATTCATCTCACCTAGGTAACGAACCTTCACAATGTCCCCTTCTTGGAAGTGTACATACTTCGCTTGGTATTTTCTGTCAAATGCTGCGCGCATTTTCTTTTGGTATTGTGCCACATTGGCGTCTAGCTGTGGTCGTATTGACTCTTCTAGATTCTTCAGTCGTGCTTCCCATGGTATCATTGTACCGGGTGCACTGACTGTTGTGTCATAATTGGAGAGTTGGTTTTGTCGTTGTCCATAGTCCACATTGAACCGTGGTGATTTGTGTCTGCGCGCTGAACGGGGGTTGTGGCCCATTTGGACAAATGGGAGGCGTGAGCACCAGTTGCCTGGATTTTATTCAACAAATTTCCGTAGCAAAGGAATTTGATCTCTTTGTGAGCGCTCATTTGCTCCCATTACCCTGGGTTGATACGGTCTGGACACTTGTGTTCTGACGGTGCCTGCTCGATGACTTTCGAAAGTATGTCATTTACATATTCTGTACCTTGGTCCGTCTGTATGACTTGTGAAAGTCCATGCTCACATATGATTGGAACTAGTGTTCGTGCCACAGTTACTGCCGACTTGTCCATCATAAGTCTCAGTATAGTATATGATGAATGTACAACGAGCCATACCAGAACGTATGTGTTGCCTCTATTCGAGTCTATCACTTGTATTCTGTCGCCTGGAAATGCGGCTGTTATTGATTGTAAAGGGTGGAATCCCTTCTTGTGATTTTTGTTCTTGAGACATGGTACACAGCCTTCAATGTGTTGGATGACATGTTCCTTCTGGCGGGACCATGTGTGGCCATCTAGTGTGAGTTTGTTCACTGTTTCTTCGACAGTGTAGTGGCCCACGGTGTGGTATTGAGCTAATAGTGTGGCTCTGTCATCATAAGTGACTGTGTCTAGCTCTGCGGACTCGTCCGCTATTTGTACGGGTGCAATGTTTACTGCGGGGTATGTTAGTTTTCGGACAAAGTATGGTGACTTTGTGCCTATTTCGGCTACAAATGTGACCCCCCATGGTGTTTTGCCACAGGCTGGTTTGCCGTTCTTTAGGGACGTGTGGTTTGTCGACTATCATCGGGTCTTGCTCAAGCAATGACAAGGATTTGGGGAACCACGTTGCGTTTGGGCAATAGGGAACGCATATTGTAATGCTCGTGGCTTCCTCTATGACTTTGTCTAGAACGTCTGATACTATCTCCCAGTGCGGATTGACCCATGCGTTTATTTCATCTGCTCACTTTTGTAGTAGCGCATTTTGTTCTTTAGTGTAGAACTTTGCCGTCTGTGCAACGTGTGCAGCAGCAAATAAATCGATGGTGAATTTTTCAAAGAAGCGTTCTGCATCCTCATAGAATCGTGGATGTAGTTTTCAATCCATGGCAGATACCAGTATGGGCATGTTTGTTTCGAGATCAGTTTTTTCTTGACCATTGTGTATATGCTCATTGGCTTCAACATATTCGATGTTTTAATGTTGAATGTGTCTTCGTGTAATCGTGACAACCTGTCAGCAACTTCAGTATCTTTGCCTGGCACATGTATGATGGTGAAGTGGTGTTGTAATGTTTTTGCTATCTTTTTGGCGAGCATGGGATTCAGTGTTTGCTGCTTGTTCATTTGGCATAACGCTTTGTGATCTGTCCACAATGTTATATCGTCTCCTTTGATGTATTCTGAAAAGTGTTCTAGGTTGTATACTAGCGCTAGCAGCTCTGTAGTATTTGTTCCATATCTCTGTTGTGCAGGGTTTAGGCCTTTTGAGAAATAGAGTATATCACTTCTGACTCCATCTATGATTTGCAACGCACACCTCACTATGCCATAGCCACTTGCGTCATTCATGATCTGAAACTTAACTTCATCTACTGGGTACCGCAATGTTGCCGAGCATGCAATGGCATCTTTGAGTTCTTCCCATTTATTCGTTAGAGTGCAGCGTAATAGACTTTAAATGAAGTGCAAATGTATCTAAAGTATGGTGCGTTCGAATGAATTTATTTATGATCTCACCCTCAGTTATAAACTGATGGTGTTGTACTAGTGTCCAAGCACTTGGGTTGGCCAGGGTAAAAACTCATATGATCAGTATGAGATATTATATTCTCTGTTACTGCACTCAGTCTCGGACCTCGGCTCTCGGCTAGCCGGTGGCCCGTATCCTATAAATAGAATAATCCGAGAAGAAGTCTCAAATTACTCATACGTTCTCTCGGGCTGACCCACCTATACGTATATTGATTTGAAAACAAGTCCCAAATCACTCTCGGGCTGACGTACTGGAGTGCGACGCAAGTTGTCAATGATTAATATATTGTTGTCTTCCACATCAGTGATGTCGTTCCAAAGCTGTTTGGAACTACGTATATCATTGAGTGCAGTACGCGATACCTACGTTGCGTCTGTCTGTCTGAGCAGTACTTGTACGGGTAACAGGTACTGTACTAATGGCGGCTACAGATACAAACTCAATTGTGTCACGACAATCAGCCATGCTGACATATTTGCCTGCTGGCCACTTAGGGAACTCACTCATGTTGAGTAGTTTGTCCATCACTGGTTCTGAGATCTTATCCCCTATATGAGATCTATTTAGAGGTAACTTGCTCATAAAGCCACTGATTGCAACACACCCGTCATGATCACTTTTATCACAGTCCTTCATAGCTTTATTGTATAGATCTGACAACCACTGATCTATTACTGGTATCAATCTGTTGGGTTGTTGGGTGTGAACTGTATCGCGGAGTTTGTGGAGTTCTCGTACGTCAATGGGGTCATCCGCCTTTTGTGCATACAACTTGTCCACTTGCAAGTATATCTACAATGTAGTGATTGCCGTCATAGATGGTGTTGTCAATGACTATGTTATCAAGGAGCTCTTGCTGGTATGAGCTCATCGTCCATGTGCATCGCTCCTTCTCCATTGAGTAAAGTAGAGGTGCGTAAGGATGCTTGGGAAACTGGCATTGTGTGTGCTGGTTCTGGTCGAGTTCTGGTTGTACGACTTGTACTGCCTCTTGTCTATGTTCTGCTTGAACTCACTTGCGTGCGTAGGCTCCGTCGTGCTGCACGTGTCCTTTGATATGAAGCAGAGGTCATTGACTGGTCGGTGTGTCGAATATGTATTGGTTTTGTTAGAGTGTATCGGTTGTTTATGGACCTGAAATGGGCCACTCCTTCATAAATACACCCCTCGTGTCACTCGTGATTAGTTACCTGTATTTGGGTTTTTTGGTAGCGTATGGCGACTGTGTTGACTGCGTGGTCTCGTGCTTGGTTAGCGGGTTTATTCAAAGGGTATTTGGTTGGAGGTAATAAACTTTGGTTTATGTCGGTTTATTTGGTATAAACTAAGTTCCATGTGTGAGCTTGGTTTATCGGTTTGTAGCCTTGAATTGAGGTTTGTTGGTTTTATTTATATTTCTGTGCCATGTTCTAGTTCCGCACTTCTAAGAAGTTTTGTTGAATTGTTGCTAAAATCAGTGGTGACTGGTTTTGTTGGAGTGTATCTGCTGTTTATGGACCTGAAATGGGTCACTCTTTCATAAATATACCCCTTGTGTCACTCGTGATTAGTTATTTGTATTTGGGTGTCCTTGGTAGTGTCTGGCGACTGTGTTGACTGCATGGTCTCGTGCTTGATTGGCTTGAACTTGGCTGTCTTTTGATATCTGGGTTTATTCAAAGGGTTTTTGGTTTTTGGTAATAAACTTTGGTTTATGTCGATTCATTTGGTAAAAACCAAGTTCCGTATGTGAGCTTGCTTTATCGGTTTGTAACCTTGGATTGAGGTTTGTTGGTTTTATTTATATATCTGTGCCATATTATAGTTCCGCACTTCTAAGAATTTTGTTGAATTGTTGCAAAAATCAATGCAATCTGATGTTGTGTCAGTGTGGTATGCGCGTCTACATTGCGTTGGTGGTGTACCTTAACGTGTCTGTGGTTCTTTGAACGTTCGTTGGTTCTTGTTCTGAATGTTATTTTTCTCTACCGTTGTTGATCTTGTGTAATTCGAGGGTCTGTTGTTGTGACTAGATTACCTCTTGTGATTTCTGTTCTAGTTCATGTGATGTTCATGAAATACGTGACCCTATGTTGAGTATGTGGGACGTGAAAGTGTGTGTGTAGTCCCTGATGTTGGGGAAATGTCGTAATGTGGAGTTCATTACTTGTTCTCTCTTTATCTCTTGTGATCTCACTTTTTCAGTAATTCAGCCCGATGTATTCTGTCTTAGTCATGTGCATGTGCTCCCATTGAATTATTTATCCCTGTATATAGCTTATGACTGATATTTACTTGCCTTTGTTCTATCCGTTGTGTTATGTCTTTGTGTGAGGGCTCAGGCTTGTGCATGTAACGTGTCTTATGTTCTTGAATGCGATCAGGGTGTTGGTTGGATTGTATAAGAAGTGTTCTTGACCTCAATTGTTCGATCTGATCTCTACTGCATTCATACGGGTCCTGTTCTTTTTGTTTCGTTATAGTCTTATTCCTGCTTTTGAATTGACTATGTTGACCCTGTGGTACCCTCTGTAGTTGAGGGCGTTTATCTATGTATCTCTTCATGGATGTTCGTAAATTTAATGGCGTGTAGATCTAGTTGGGTTACTAGGCTCTTTTGTGTCTTTCCCTTGTGTACATTCTCCTACTTCTGAGTTGTAATCCTTTGTGTGAGTTGCAAATCCTTATGTCTGTCTGTGTACTACTTCTCAATGATAGTTATGTCGGTTTAAGTGTGACTAGTCTGCTATTCCACGCCATTTATATCTGATGTACCCTTATGGTGTTCTTATAACTTATGTGCTTAGAGTACTAACCGTTTATATCTGTTTATCGTTTATTCTTAGGAATGTCTTAGCATCTATGGAGTTAAAAATGTAATCTCTTTTGTGTCTTTTAGTCATCCATCGATTTTGAATGCTGAAATGTCTTATTAAACGAGCATCCATGAATTCTAGATGCCGATCAACACTCTTGAAGTCCTGTGCTCTATTTCTTAGAGTTGTTAGAGTTGTGTAAGGAAGACCTCTTGCTATTGCCTTCCTTCTATTATCCTCGAGGTAGATTGTGCCTCTGACTGCTTGATTCGGTCTATTGAGGGTACTTCTATTGCACTCCAAAATATTTGTAGTTGAAAGTCACAACAGTGAATACATAAATCACAGTGACACAAGTTCCGATTTCTTGCAAGGTTGCAGCAACTCACTTGTGCTAATTCGAAGTACCTTTGTTTTGGCTTGACCTCGCTATTTCCGGGGAAGGGCTAATTCTTATTATCAGAGCTGCGCTCGTTG